GAACAGAAGAGTGTTTCAAAGACGTAAGAGACAAACACAAAGGTAGAAAAAAGGTGAGGTGAGTACTGTGAAATATTCCAATATGGCATCGAGTGAAGTGATGGTAGTTTGAAGTGAGAAGTCAACTGCCGAATAATAAACTTTATGCCGTATGGGTATACGTTGCCCATGGTGCACCAAGTGGAGGCAAGTCTATCGCACACCCCGGATCCACGTAGATAGTGGCTAATGTCTCTCAACACTCAAGGCGCTTCATTAATAGGCATTTCACTTTGTTGGGTACAATTCCCTTTTAATAAGAGCAGACTGAAATTGCCAGAATCGGCATTTATAATCGCAGTTGTCATCCATCGCAAATTCTGACCACCCCCTAAAAATAATAGTGCGGCCCAGCGTTGATGATGGTAGGTGATGCGAAAGCACCCATTCTCTCTTACAAAGTGGAATCAAAATAATAAGAAGATCGCTGAATATTTACACTACTCAAGATTGTGCGTTGATAGGAGTTTTACTATTTCACTTGCCACTACCTCCAAGTGAAACTAAATCCAAATACTTATTATTACTGGATAGTCTCCTACTTTAATTGTTTAACTCCTAATCGTTAGTATTCCCAATTAACTTTCAACGTCGATGGCGTGATCGGCGTGTACATCCTTCCAGTCCGGGGTCACAAGATCGATGCAAGTCAGTGTAAACTGCAGTAATGTGAGTAGCCAATCGTCAGTAAGAGATGTTTGGAAGAACTTGCGTTGCTCATAAAAGCGCACCGGAAATACGTTCCTTGGGAAAATTTCACAAAATTCATAAATAGTTTCAACCTCAGATAAGGAAAAAATTATCGATCTTATTTGCACGGGAATAGACCTCCTCATTTTGATTACCACTTGCCAACTAATGACATCAAATGAAGATGATAATTTTTTCCCCAAAATGGTAGTAAAAACAGTCAATAGGGTGGGGAGTGCTGAAACACGAAACAGAGCCTGTGAACACTAACAACACCCTACATTATATCAGAAACAGGGGTGGGGGTGAGGTGGTGGAGGGTGGGGGAGGGTGCTGTTAAAATGTGCGCGCTTGTGGGTGAATTATTAATGACTGGAAGAGGAATAGGCAGCGGGGTATCGTAACACGAATCAGTGCACTTTCTCGCTCCCTCGAAGCTGCTAAATCCGTCAGTACCAAAATGAGGGGGGGGGGGGGGGGGGGGGGGGAGGAGGGAGGGGGCAATAAAATATGCTCCAGTTGGGATGAGGATAAACTATTTGCAGAGGCAATTCAACATCCAAAGGTGTTAAAAGTCAAAATTTGCATGATTTCACTTAAGAGGAATCCATCCTGTCCCACTGGTTGTGGAACTCCTTCTCTATTTTCACGACCGTCTAATGACATTGTCATAAGTTTTGAGACTGCTGGTGGAGCAGAGACGAGCTTGAAACAGTATGCAATTTCGTTAATTAACTAGAACGAAGAGAGATATGAGCCGTATATACTATACGCATTCTTAAACTTCAGTCCCTAAACAGCTTCAAAATCAATACGAAATTACAAGACTGATTATCACAATTAAATGGCGGACATTTGGTGCAGACTGGGAGGAGGAGGGGGGGGGGGGCATTCCATGAAATTCGGATATTGGAATGCGATAGACACGGTAAGTATAAACTGCACAAAGCAAAGCCCGTAAAATCAAACGAAGGTAGGGTCTTTGACACCTTGACATTACTCTCTACATCTTTCCAATTCCCTTCGCCTACAATTAATCTGCTTTTGGAAGAGCAAGGAAATCTTGAAATTGGAGCCAAAATATACCATTCTCAAGGTGTATTTTATGACATAATATACAATGAGAAGCAGAAGAAACTGTGCATAAAGTCAGATGGCAGCCTATTTTTGCTCTTTACAGAAATTGAAATCCTATTCCAAATATTCACATGTCATCGCATACGTTAACATGAAAAATGTCACGCACACACACATATATAAAATTAAGTAAATATTGACTGCTAGTGAATCTGAAAATGATTTACTCACGATGGAACTGCAATAGATTCGTTCGCCCTTCTAGTTGCAGCACTAGCTGCACTTCCATTGCAAATGAAAGACCAAAGTGAACCAAGCTTGGTATTAGATCCAGAAGCCGATCGTGTTCTACGATGCGAACTCAGAGCATCATTACCCTCCGTGCAATTTGTCCTGGACCCAGTTGTGAAGGAATGATCGATTGATTTTGAGTAAACCATCACAGAACAGTCATCTCGAAAAACTGGAGGTTCAGTCACCACCGAAAGTGCAATTTCGTCAGGATGAGGTTCAACTGAAGCAGATTTTGGATGAAATCCACCGGCCCTTCGTCGTTTCAACTGTCGAGGTTTCCCCTGTCCTGGACGGGAGGAGCTTTTAAGCACTGGAGAAGTATTGTTGACGTCACTAGTTATCGCAGAAAGAGGCTCTTTGTTAGCCTTAGGAGATGGTGCTCCCATGGCATTGTCACAGAGATTAATGCTTCCTGCTGATCGATGAAGACGAGATCGAAAATTCGTTGAAATTGGATTCTTAGTTGGTGAGGCTTCTGCAATCATGCTAGTGGAGAGGAGGCTTCTATCTGACTCTATCTTCGTTGAAGAAAAAACTTTTGTTACTGACGAGTTTCTCCTTCGAATTCGAAAGGCTGTAAGAAAAACATCGAAAATAAACGCCGATAGATTATTTCATAAATTTCAATAACTATTTCTAATCTCCAGATGTTACCTTGTATCACAATCGTTTTACATGTTACAACTTCTTTTTAAATACAATTTTCCCTAGAAATGTAAAATTGTAGAAGCATTTTTGGGATAATTGTAGCACAGTTGTCAGTTAATGAGGTATAAAGTTTGTGGATTAAATAATTTAATTATATTTAAAATTACTTTCGACTGAAATAATAGTTAGTTTTGGGGAAAAAAGCTATGGATTAGTGGCTTCTGTAAATTGTCCTGAGATTACTTAAACTGAAACGCGGGTTAAGTCGCTTCTCCTCAACGCCTAGAAATGATTCTCGAACCTATCAAAAGTTTATTTTAGCTCATATCAAGCAATAAATAACAGACAATGTTAATGAAAGATTATATGGCAGTAGGTTATAGGTTGCTGGGCCATTGAATTCATGATACACCTCAAAGTCTACATCAGACCCAATTAACCTCAAAATTGGGGGGGGGGGAGGGGGGAATACATTTTGGTTAAACCACCTTTTCAAATAGGCAGAGAACAGTAATTTGTAATGATTAGAATATTTACATTTACTTCATTAGCGCGGTGGTTATGGGCTCGATGTCCAATGTCGTGGGGACCAACCACTCTGATTGACTCTTGTCAGCTAGAGTGACAGCCAAAAATGAATTCCTTACAACACCACCTCCAGGATACTTTACCTCTCTCTCTCTCCCCAAATCAAGTATTGCTGACACTTTCTATATGGGGCTTGGGCAGTGACTTGAGCTAATCTGTTTTCGGTATTTGCAATTTCATTACCAAAGTGACTTTTAAGGCCAACGTTAAACGCAAAAAACACAATTTTCACATTTTCCACCACTTCTCGATGAGAATAAATGAGCTAAATCAAAAAATAATAATTGCTGCACATCTGTTATTAAAAGGTATAAACATTACAGGAGTGAAAAATTTGCTTTATACTGAACCGTGGATAGAGCCCCTCAACTAGCTTGAAAAGTAAATAAAATTCAAATAAATTACCGACCACTTTATTTCAGTTCCAGTCGGCAAGCCTAACTACATTATCATTATTAACAAGCCATAATCATAACTGGAATGAGCGCCCTTTAAAAGTAGCGTCTAAGATATTTGAACAGATGACCCAGCAGACTAGTAAGTTCTAAAATTTCTGCGGTTTTCAAAGAACAACAATGACAATTATTCAGATAGAGCATAAAAAATACATTCGATAAAGTAAGATCTGCAGACATCCTTTAGAAGGTGGCGGAGATTCAATCTAACCATTAATTACGTAGAATAACAAATATTGTTATAATATCAAAATACAGAAAAAAATTAAATAAATTCTGTGGACAAAAATTTGTTAAAATTGCGCAATAAAATAACCAAGCTAAAATATGTCGGTTGGAAAATGGAAGCGAAAGGACACTTCAGTTATTCACACTTCTTTATTCATATTAGGCAATTAGGTAATCAACTATTTTTCGAGATTGTAGAAAATATCTGCCATTAGAAAAAGAACTGAAATATTTATTCTGTGTTTTCAATTCACAATCTAGAGCAGTTCATTTTTTAAAGACAAGCGTTCAAAGTAAAATATTTATTAAATTTCTGAAATAAAATTCAAGAGCTATTCAAATTTGGGACATATCACAAATAAAAATTACGTAAAAAAATCAATATATGATAAATGAAGATAACTCTAAATAATATATCCCCTTACGAACATAAAACCCCTTAAAACATTTAAAAAATTGATATTTTTAAATAAGGGAGTCTTTATTCAAATACTCACTTCGAAAAAATCGAATTTTCAATACACAAAATGAGTGAACTTACTTCTAAAAAATAGGTTAGGAGCTCCAGGTGATTTTGAAACCGCATATTCAGCCGGTCCGAGAGTGGAACTCTTTGGCAATGTATGCTGTAACCGTCTTGCTGAGGGTCCTAATTGACTGTCTGTTTTGATTTTGCTTGGAGTATTATCGTCAGGGGCAGCCATTTAAAGATCTGTCTGAAAAATTTGCGTCTGTATCACAAGTAAAACAAATAATAAAATTTTACTTGGTACATATAAATAAAAACTGATTCACTTAAAAATACTGGAGCCATTTTTCGATTATTAAGTAAAATGCAAACTTGTATTGTATCAAATATAAAACATTCAAACTTTTAAAAAATAGTAAATTCATTAAAAATTATAGTAATCGTGGTATATCCTGCCATGATTTATCACAATTGGTTTGCTGGCAATAAAGCATTACTTATTAGACGAAATTGCATGAAACCAAATATTACACTAACTTAAAAGTTCATGGAAATTTAAGTTGTTTGATTAATTAGAACAAGAGCAGCCTTCAGCAAAATGTTCGTTAAATTATAGTATTATTGCAATAATGCTGCTGTATTTTAACAGACCTATTTTAATTAAATTAAATTAATTTATTTAAATTGATATTTTTTAATGAAAGATGAGGAAACGTATCCACATGTTTAATAAGATTTTTGACTATTAGGATATACGACATCTTATTAATACAAAATCCCATTTTGACAAAACCTACCTTGATTTTTTCTTTATCAACATATGCAATTCCCAAGGAAACGAGAGTTACAGTATAATTTACTGCGGTTTTGGAGCAACTTAACGAGAAAATAAGAAAAAATAAAGAGACAAAGTTTCAAACATTTAATATTTTGCTAAGTCTCGAGAATAACAGTATTAATCAGAGCCAATTATTAGAAAAATGTAGATGTTATTTAATTTACCAATCTTGATGAACTTGGACGCTTACAAGGCTCCGTTTAGAGAATGAAATTGGTAAAAAAAATTACAGAGGCTGTTATCTGCTTTAAGATTCTACAAACACAAAGTTTGAAAATATTTTGAACTTTATTCTAACTTTTTTGATTTTGTAAATAACAGACGTTACATGAGGTACTTTAATAGCTCTGGCATTAGTCCAAATTGTATATCTATGTTTTGACAATAGAAAATTAACATTTTATTCAGGTGAATAAATTCTTATTAAGATCAATAAAATTACACATATTTAAATTCTTGGCCCATTTTTGAACGGAATAACCGCAATAAATAAACATTTATATCCAAAATTTCTGACAGCGCTAAAAATAATAACATTTGTTGTTTTAATTATCAAATAGAAGAGTAATTTCTTCCAAATCCATCAATATTTACAGAGTATTGATCAAGAAATTTTGAATCCCTCATTTTTAATTGGTCGGGCGCACAGCGGTCAATTCGAATTTTTGTGTTTCTGCTGTAATCGTGGGGTGAGTGATTTTATATAACTCAAGGAGATCAGTTGGTCTAGTATTCAAGTCTCTCTGATCTTATATTATTCTTTCGTGCAGTTTAAGGTTGTTTTGCCTATCTTCTTTTCGTTTTTTCCTGATTGCCTCATCCCTTTATTTCTATTTTCTTCAATGGCTGCGATAATTTGTTCAGTTATATCCCTTTCAGTATAAGATCGTTTAATTCGGAAAACTTCCTATGCCGTTGAAATTTTTCAATTTGCTTTTGAATTCGAAGAATTTTATTTTTTCTGGTCTTTCTTTCATTCCGTTAGTTCCCAAATAAAGAATTTAATGTCTTATGCACCTCGTGACCGAGTTTTTGCCAAAGTCAGAGGTTTTCCACATTGGCCTGCAAGGGTATGTTTCCATAATAACTTTTATTCGACTCCTTTTAACAGATCAATATTGTTCCAGAGGGAGTATCCGTCCCTAAAGGCAAATATCCTATCTTTTTTTATGGTACACATGAGATCTACTGTCTAGCTCCCAAAGACATCTATCCCTATGAAAAGTGGAAGCATAAGTATGGCGTTCCGAAGAAAAACAATCCTCTCTTTGGAAGGGGGCTGGAGGAGATTGAACAGAATCCTGATGTTCTTCTATTAGGAACGGTGAGCTTATTTGTCCATGTTTTGTCGATTGTTTTAAGCATTTTTATGGCTTTAATATGAATTTCAGGATCCGGCTGCGGAGAATTTTTTTTCACAATTTTATCCAAAAAAGTCATCTAAAGTCTCATCGCCCAAAATCAAATCTTCCAAATCAGACGTTTCTAGTGAGTCTCTAAAGCCATCGCTGAATTCCCAGGATCCCCACTCAGTTGATCTTGATGTCACACAGGACCAGTCGATCACTGATTCTCTACTCACAAAACAAACACCTAAACGCCCTGTTCGCAAATCAAGCATGTTTGAAAATTTTTATTCCCTACACTTTTGGTTTTAGTAGATTCCTTTCATTCTTTGCTTCTCACTTTTTAGCATCAGCTCCATCAGTAGCTAAACATCCTAAACAAGCCAGTACGTCGTCTGGTAGAAGCTCTAGTGAATTGTAAGTGGAAGGGTCTCGTTAATTTTGTGAGAGTAGTAATTCTTACTACTTTCTATTTTTTATATAGGAATTCTAGCAAACAGAAAGAATCTCGCGACGATGAGTATTCAAGGGTGGTGGATGAGATACAGGTCAGCCAAAACGAACTGCCCGCTACCACACCATCGGGTAGACCTATGCGAAAATCGGCAGCTAAGGCTGTAATGGGTAAACCTTATAAATACACACTTTTTGGTTCCACCTCTGGTGAATCATCGGGTGCTCCTCCTTCAGACAGCTCGACAGTACCTGTATGTTATTTTTATAAACTACTGTCTTTTTCTGACCGGTGTTTAGATCTTCTGAGCTTAATTACTCATTAATCTTTGAATTCAATTTTTAAACCCTATATGAGAATAATTACTTAACTGTAGACCTTTATTTCCTGTGTTTTTTAAGGTTTATTGGAAATTCCCAACTTGCTTTCAAGCTTAAATTTAAAACTAGAATTAATAGAGCTTTCGCTACGTTTCTCATTGGTTCTTGTAGCCTTACTTCCACAAAGCATGAGACAGAGACTTTGTCTGAGTGAAGAGAGAGAGAGAGTAAGAAAATGGTATTGAAATCGAAATTAATTAGATGCGTAATTGACTAAGGAACAGGTTGTGCAGCCGAGTAGAAAAACAAATAATTGGAAATTCGTTTATTTTCAGTACCACGATATGGATATATCGTTCTTTGGGATTTAGTCTCCTCTAAAACGTCCGATTTTCTAATTTCAGTCTACTGCTGAAACTGAAGCGGCACAGTCTCAGAAATTGGCAGCTCCGTCTACTCAGAAACCAACGAAGGGAGAAGAAAAATCGGTAGAACATCCTGAAATGAAGATCGCCACCAAAACCTCTGTATTGCCCCCTACAGAACCTTTGTCATCGCCGTCTTGGGAAGACCGAAAGGAAGCAACAACCCGACGTAAAGAAAAGGCGTCTGGTGAGAAAATAGAGAGGAAGAGAGCTCGACTATCTTCCCAGCCTTCGTCTCAGCGTCCAAATCGAAAGTCACATACTTCCCACGCCGAAAAACCCCCAATGAAGGTGTCGAAGTGAGTTGTTTGTGCTATTGCCGTGCAAAATACCTTTTGGTTTTCCCGCTGATGTTCTGGCACTCACTCATGACGAATATAACCACGAGAGTGAAGAAGAAAGCGAAAACCAAGTATTACCGGGGCTTCATCTCTTTATTTGACTGAAGTATATGATTGTGTGTGTCTTAATCTGTCATAGACTTTCGGAGCACAGCAGGTCGTGTTGATTATCCATATTTGTTTAGCTTCAATCATTTTGTCTTATTTATCTCCTGTAGTATACCAGTAATGTGACTGCCAATATGCATATCTATTGGGTGGGCAACTAAGTCATTGCCCTTTTTGTTGACGGATTCACTCTATACTTTCTTTTGTTTTGCTAACGTGGCCAGAGCATCTAACCTATATTTTTTTCTTACTGTATGGGCTTCTAGGTTAATTAGTAAAAAAATTTTTTGTTTAGTTCTTTAGTTTTGTTTTTATCCCAATTTAAAAATGAAAGAGCAGGACGTGCACTTCCGACACATTTTATTGTATTACTTCTGAAAAGGCAAGAACGCATCGCAAGCACAAAAGAAGTTATGTGCCGTATATGGAGAAGAAAGGCAGTGTCGAAATTGGTTTGAAAGATTTCGTTCCGGTGATTTTTCACTGAAAAATTCACAACGATCTGGCCACCCAGTCGAAGTGGATGAAACCCATATCAAGGCCATTATCGATTCAAATCGTCACAGCACAACACGAGATATTGCAGAGAAGCTCAATGTGTCGCATACATGCATTGAAAAAAAATTAAAAACCCTTGGTTATGTCAAGAAACTTGATTTATGGATCCCTCACCAGTTAAAGGAAATTCATTTGACGCAACGGATTAGCATCTGTGATTCGCCGCTACTGAAACGCAATGAGAATGAGAAAGATCCATTTCTGAAGAACCTAGTTACTGGCGACGAAAAGTGGATAGTTAATAAGAATGTTACTCGCAAGAGATCATGGGTGAAGCAAGATAAACCAGCCCAAACAGTATCAAAAGCAGAGATTCACCAAAAAAGATTATGCTGTCAGTCTGGTGGGGGGATGACAAAGGAATTTTGTATTTTGAACTCATGCCGCAGAACCAAACAATAAATTCAAATGTGTATGTTGAAGAACTGGAAAAACTGAAAGAAGGATGCAATTGAAGATAAGCGGCCGGCATTATCAAATCGGCGGAAGGGTGTTGTTTTCCATCATGATAACGCAAGGCCCCCCCCCCACACATCTTTGGTTACTCGGCAAAAATTATTGGAACTGGGTTGGGATGTTTTGTCACACCCACCATATAGCCCTGACCTTGCGCCTTCGGATTACCATTTGTTTCGTTCCATGCAAAACTTTTTAAATGGCAAAATTTGTAACAACGCGGATGATGTCGGATCACACCTAATTCAGTTTTTTAATAGCAAAGACCAGACATTTTACGAAGGGGGAATTTTTACTCTGCCAGAAGGATGGAAAAAGGTCATCGACAAGAACGGCCAATATCTAATTGAATAAAGTTATATTTTTAAACAAAAATTCCGAATTTGCCTTCTTATTTGAAATCGGCAATGACTTAGTTGCCAACCTAATACAATGTCTAAAGTCAACAGGGTTAGATACTCATTGGTACATTTTCAGTGGTACTTTTCAGGAGAAGAGTGACGTATAGCATATTATGAAAGCCCGGTCCAGTTCATATTTTTTTCGATTACTATTTATTATTTTATTATTTATTTTTGAGATTAACCATACTCGTTACGAGTTTGCGCATGACTCGAACTTCACATAACAATGCATGATTTTCACGGGCTCCATGAAACAGCAAGCTTTGAAATTCACTTCCGCTTTAATTTTTATGCACGTAATAATTCTTTAATCTATTTACTACGAATGCTTAAAGACCCATTTCAGGCTATTAAGTGGCATCATGGAATCTCCCGAATGTGAATCATATTGGCTTGTCTTTTGGTCATCTCACTTATTAGTCGTGGCTTGATGAATATCGATCCCGTTTTCTCTAACTTCACAAATGAGTATCTTACAGAGTTCTCTGTCAATGTGCTTGTTTGCAAGACAGGGGTCGCATTTTGGATGCTTATTCGGTAAAACTAATAAAAAAAGTGGTAAATCAAAATTTGGGGTGCATTTGAAATGCGATCTGGGTGCGGAATTATGGTTTCCCATCAAAAATTCGCTTTAAAGGTAAAGCGGATTCTGAAACCTACCAACCAACCCAATTTGCTATTATCACATTATTAACCTTGTCGTTGATTGTACGTACCATTTCTCCTGAAGATTTGTACTTGCCGGCAATTTCTAAATCATCTGTTGACTAACCTGTTTTCGTTTCAATTTCATTTTTCTCTTCTAAATTGAAACGAACACTTGTTCACGAATTTTTTGCTCATTCACTGGGGGTATTTTAATTGCGGAAGGTCGGTGTTGCCGGTCAAATTCATTTTTATTTTAGTGGTCACCTGATATTCTTGATTCGGTTAAGAATTTTAAGTTGTCAGAACTGTGTTCTTTCAGATTACCAGAGTTTTAAATATTCATCCTTCCCTATTTTTAGCGTGTCTATGACGCCCGAGGAATTGAAAGCACGTTTGAATAATCGTCTCAATCCACAAAATGGAGCTAAGCAACTGAATGGTGGTTAATTTTCTGGCATTTTCTGTTTTTTGATTTTTCTTTTTGAATAAATTTGTTGTTGTTATTGTCTGAAGAATTAGATACTGAGACCAAGCTTCACCAATGCTATCTCGGGATAAAGAAGAGCTTAATACGTGGTCATGAGAATCTTTCTGCTTGCATCCAACGCATGGAAGTTGTTGAAAATTTGCCCCTCACTCTTCCTATTCTTGTAAAGTGCTCTCCTATAATAGAAACTATCAAGAAGGTAAGTTAAGCTCCCCCATGTTTTTAACTACATGGTCGATTTCCAAATTTCTATTGGTTATTTTTTACTTGCACAGTGCACGCGCTACACTCGGTCGGAAGGAGTGAAAATTAATGCAATGCGGCTTCACAATAAATTTTTAAGCATCTATGAGAATGCAACTAAGGAGGAGGTTGGTTGGCCGGTTTTAACGTGTGTCACTCTTACGCCTTTTGGTTCCTAATTTTTTCCTCGAATTTTACAGACGAGAGAAGCACAGGCTGTTCTGGCCCTAGCGAGACAAAATTCTTCCAACCAAAGCGCACCTGCTACTGTAGAAGCTATTTTTGCCCATAATGACTCCAGTTCTAATTCCGCTTCTACTCGACAGAGTGATCAGACTCCACCCGGTCGGTCTGCAGATGCTGATAAATCTGATCCTGCTCCACCTACGCCTAAGGAACCTGTTCAGCATCCTCCTCGTGTACATCCACCTGTAGTTTTCCCACCAGCACCTTCTCCTCTTCAAATCTCTTATCAAGATGCTCCCCTTTCTCCCTCTGCGCTTATCAAATCGGATTCTGAAGGCTTGGCTGTTTCTGATAATGAATCTCCGAGAAGTGATTTGTGTTATCAGCGACCACTTCCTCCACCCCATCCTAGTTCTCGAGAGATTATAGACTCTGTTAGGCAGGCTTTTTCCCATCATACTACTAACACAGTAGGCCACATACAACCCCCCGTTGTTGCCATTCAACCGCCAATACCAGATAACTATGATCCCCGGCCTCGGTGTACCTCATCTCAGCCCCTTCCCAATTTTAATCCCTTTCGTGGTGAAGTAGTAGAAGAGCTATCACCACCGATGCGGGATGTTTCAGACAATCGCCGTCCCAGAGTACCGGGGAGAGAACGACCTAGGAGCCCACATGCTTTACCACATCCTTTGGAGCATTATCAGAGGTTCCTGAATAGCGGAGAGCCTCAGCAGTCACAGCCTAGACAATCGTTTCCACAGTCTTCTCAACCGTCTGTAGATTTGGATTCAAGAATAGCTCAACTATTGGGTCATTCACAACAAAGAGGCGTGGAGCAGCACCATTTCGTTGAAAATCCTCCTTCCGGTTCTCATCAATATCACCAGGCTCCACAACCTCATTCTACTTCCCTTCCTCCCATTAATCTCTTATCTTCCTCGCATCCCTCTCTACAACGGCCCTCGTCTCAGAACACTGTGAGGGGGTCATATGGGCTACCACCTATGCAACCGCAACCACAACCGCAGCATTTAATGGCACCACAAATGCCTCCCCTACAGCCAATTATGTACCCTTCAGTTTCACCACATCCTTCTGCTTATCCCCCTACTCAAATGATGACTGTCAGGCATCCTGTTCCTCCACAACATCCCTATCCTCAATCACAGAGCATGGCTATCGCCCCTGATGGCTCACAACAGTGGCATCATAGTCAGATGGGGTATCATGGTGCGCCTGGGTCGGATGGCTTGTACGGACAGCAAAGAGAGGGAAGCGATTGTGGACCATATTAATGAGCGGGTTGTGTATTATTTTTTCTGCTACTCTGCGTTCTAGTTAAGCTCCATCGCGTATGTTTGTATATTTATTTGTATTATGCCCTATCAATCCCTCCCCCCCCCCTCTGTTCCCTTCCCACTATTTCATACACTATGTAATATTTGATTAAGTCATCGTTTTGGAGTAAAATTGCAAACAGCTTAGTGTAGTGTACGTTATTTTCTTATTGTATTGATGGTTTATTTACTCATTGATTTGATGAAGTGCTTAGGATGGAGGAACATGTGAAGAAGATATCGCCACACCAATAACTTGGGAAGAGATTTCTCTTATTAGGAGGAAACATAGTGCGCTTATGTCCTGCTTGGGTGCAAACCAAAATCGGTACGGATCTAAGTGTAAAGTTCAATTTGTGGAGACTGGATACGTAGTGCAAATCGGTAGCTTGCTTGATAATTAGGAATGTTTTAAGTCGGTATGGGGTATGATGCCCATGGGTGGAATGATGATAGCACTACTCGGTGTGACTTAGAATCAGTGTCGAAAGGTACCTCTCCAAATGGAAAATTTATTAATATGTAGCAATGGCAATTTTGTCAGCATAAGCTACTTGTGTATTCGAGCCAACGTATGCTCAAATATACTTTTTAGAAGTCCTTTAGGCCAACAGAATGCAACTTCATTCTCCACAATATTTATTTATATAAAATGGCAGGCATTTTGATAGTTATCATAAGCCCTTTAGTTGACTTCAGGCTTTACAGAGAAGAAGGAACATCAAAGTGAAAAAAGTCGAGAGGGGGAGGGGAACAGAAGAGTATTTCAAAGATGTAAAAGAGAGAGACAAAGGTAGAGTGAAAAAGATGAGGTGAGTACTGTGGAAGTAGTCGGATATGACATACAGTGAGGTGATGGTGTTTTGAAGTCGGAAGTCAACTGCCGAATAATAGACTTTTTTGCCGTATGAGTATACGTTGACCAGGGTGCACCACGTGGAGGTAAGTCTATCACACACCCCTTCTCCACAATATAGAAATCGGGAGTT